TCGATAGTCAACTGACAAGTAATTTGTTCTCGGCTTCTGAACTTTTTCGGAGTGTTCTCGTAAATTCTCTGTTTTGGAAGACAAGAAAAAATGAGGGCATATCAGGTGCGAATTTATCACTAAGCAATTTGAAAACTGTAATCAATTCGTCTCTAGTTCTTTAATACGACAACGGGAAAAGGTTCAGCTTGGCCAGTCGAACTTCACACGGAGGCTTCGCTATTCCGGGAATCAGCTTAGTCGCCGTTCTCTGAACCTTTTTCAGAGGCTCACTGTCTTATTTTAAGCAGGGTATGCCCGCTTGTATGCAGTACCCAAGTTTAAGACAAACGAACACTGTATACAAAGTCAAAAACGTTTTAGCGTCGACATGACTAAAAGCCCTACGTATTGACCATAGCGTTCTAAAACCTTTGGCGGCTATTGCACGACAGTGTGCAGTAGTCTTTAAATCTTGGCTAACGATGACCCCTGAGTCATTATATGACTGGACGACAGGTAGCTCAGTGTTATTCATCGTGTATGTATCCGTACCTTGATGACCGATATGCATCACAACACACTCGGCAACTGCCAGGTTTGGGACCACTCAGATAATTTCTTCAGGTTATTTTGGAGTTCTAAGCTATCACCCTCACATCGTATCGTTCTCCATATCTTGACATCGTCAGCATATAGCAAGACCGATGATGACAGGAGACGAGGAAGGTCGTTTACATACAAGAGGAATAGCAGTGGCCCCAAAATTCTACCCTGGAGCACTCCACTAAGCACATTTCTCCAGCTAGATAACTTGGAGTTCACCCGAACTCTTTGTTGACTAAGAAGTCTTTTATCCACATAAATAGATTGCCTCCAATCCCGACATATCTTAACTTATATAACAGCCGGTTGTGCGGAACTTTGTCAGACGCTTTGCTAAAATCAATGAAGGCTACGTCTACAGGTGACTTTTGGTCCTTAAGAGCGCACCAGCTTTCACGAGCCACTAATAAGTTAGTGAGACAAGAGTAACCTACTCTGAAACCGTGCTGCATCTCCGAAAGGGTGCGGTTTTTATCGAGATACTTAAACTGCTCCTTCCGAATAATCTTTTCTAAGATTTCAACAACCACACTAGTTAGGCTAACGGTGCGGTAGTTCTCAGGTTTGTTTTTCGTACCTGTTTTGAAGACAGGACTTACTATGGCGTTTTTCCAGCCTTTTGGGTAAACGACTCTGCGTTCCGGTAAGGTTAAAGCATATACTTAAAGGGTTCGCAACGAAGTTAGATAATTCCTTCAGTAGCCTAGGATGTAATTCATCGGGCCTCGTGAATTTAGCTATGTCAAGCTTATTCTGTAGACTAAAGACATAGAGTTCTTAAATGGTCAGGCTATCCAGTGTAACTGTAGGGGGATCTATATACGCTGATGGGAAGGGCGCTTCTATGGTGTATACATTGCTAAAGTAGTTTGAGAACACCTGAGCCTTACCAAAGTCGTCCTCCACTAGTGACGCGGCAGTACTGTCTCCCCATAGAGTGGGAATATTTCCTTACCTCTTTGTACTTTGGTTTATATAAGAATACAAGCGTTTAGGACATTCTAAGGATTCCTTAACAATTTTTTCTTCGTACAAACTTCTAGACATACGGAGGGTCGAGACACAGGTATTCCGGACTTTTCTATACTGGGATTTAGTTTCATCAGTTCCCAGTAACCCAAATCTATCCCACATTTTTCTTCTCTTACGGAGAAGGATGCGAACCTCCCCACTGAACCATGGTGGGGAGTTTCTCGGCCAAAGCTTCTTTTATTCACTACAAAACCACTTGAACTTCAATGCACTTAGGCTTCTGGGCAATTAATCTAGTATCTTTGAATTACTTCTGTTCGCAGCGCAAATTTGATTTCCGTGCATTTGTCAAGGTCGTTTGGTTGTGGCGTTTTGAGTATATCCAATGGATATGCTCTAACGTCTTACGGGGGTTGTCTAGCTGCTCAGTAAATGAAGTAGGTTTGCACTATGCATAAAGCATTGGATAAAACTTATATGTTGTTAATTTTGACGAAGGTTTCCCTGAACCAATATCGTCTTTGTAAGGAGAATGTCAGATGTTTGACGTTTTTGCAAGTATAATAATAGTACAATTACAATTCGATCAAATTTTTAATGGAATTCTGTATTTTATGACTCATATAGAATGTTATATACCTCAGTGGACGTCCTTCAATGTTCACGTTTTTGAAATTCGAATTTCACTGCATGCAGATCTGCATGAAATGAATCCTACATTTGTTTTTTTTTCTAAAGGAAATTCCCAATTTGTAACTTCGTTTGACACATTTTATGAGGGTTGTTGTTCCAATCGGTCTTAATAGGCTAAAATAGCTCTAATTATAGACGTTATCAGATAATAAAATGCTCACTGGTGCTGATGTACGTACGAAAAAGTGTCGTTACTGTGTTGACAAACAACTAGTATTCAGACTGATTTGCAGTGTGTTAATGGGGTCATTCATGTTTACTAGTCATCGACTGGGGAATTATGCTCTCGAAAGAAATTCACATTCGACAACTCTATCAGTATGCTTATCTGTCCGTCTTTTGTAGTCGGAGTGTATCTCTGTTACTTTGTAGTCGATAAGTGTTAAGGTATTTCCGTTGGTCAGTTACACATATGGTCATCCTGAAGCATGGCTCAGTTGTTCCGTACAGTCCCCATTTAAGTATACCTCTTGTTTGGTTGGATGTATTGTAGTCTTGACAACAATGAATTTGAAGCAAATAACAAGTCATTCGCCACCCTGAACAAAGCTCACAATTTGGTTGCAACTTTATCTTTGCCACTACACTTTTGGTACAGTTAATTTTACTTTCGCTACCAAACCGAATATTATGTTGTCGACTTCTTCCTGATGTCCAACTGGTGCTAGGGGTGCTAGGGTTCACAAAATACGGCTCCAAATCTTATGAAACCAAGCTTAAAAGTACGTTTTAGCTGTTGAGATTCAAACACTGCGTCAAACTCAATAACAGGCATCACAAGCTAAGACCCTAAAATCCTTCTATTGATCTATCTCAACCAGTATAGATAACCAGCGAAATATGCACATCATTCATCTGGAGGCGCAAAAGCAGTTGATCCTGGTCTTGCTGATGTACGTGAGGCACTAATTTAGGCAGCACAACAGACTCGTGGATTGGATTTCTGCTGACAGTTACCTATGTACTGTCCGTCTCAGCACAGTGGTACAGTGGGGATTCGGAAAAACAGACAGATCACTCTCTATTCGGCGTTTCTGCCTATACCTCCACTATCTGCACCTCGACTGGAATAAAAGACTTACTTTCCAATATGCTTCCTTATCTTCAGCAAACCAGGTGCTCAGACATAGTATTCGTAGGAGGCGTATTAATAGTCCAAGTCAAATCAAAGAACACTTAGGTGGGTCTTTTGGCATCCCAACCTAAGTTATGGGTAAAAGTGACCGTCCCTTTCATTTATACTCAGGTAATAATCTATTCTTAGTAAGAAAAAGCTTTAAGCATAAGCTGAAACATTTGTTTACCAAGCACCCTCAACATCTGCTCAACAGTGGACACGTGGTTCATAACGCGATCAACTCTCTGAAGGGGTCCGTTAGAAGAGACTAACTCTTAAGGAGCCATAACTCATCAGGTTGTTTTTAAGAATAGTGGCGAACTTCTGATCAGGGAAGTGAAAGCGTTGTTTGCAAAGTTTGGGGATAAAAATGTGTCTTATTATCATAGAATAAAGTGGTAGTTGTTCTAATCCTTAAAGTGCTTACGTCACCTATGCAAAAACTATCAGGGGATAAATATACTTTCGATTACTTCCAAAATATTGACTTGTATCATAATTCTTAGATTATTCAAGTCCATGAATGATTAACTTGCGAGTAGAAGGCTGGTTTTCCATTTAATTGAGGATATATTAATCATATATTTACCCGCCACTAATTGTTAGGGGCACCTTCTGTGATAGTTTAATCGCTAATATCAACATATTATTGCTTAGAGAATTGTCATTAGGGCTGGTAGTTCTTAAAATGTATATAATGTGAAGATGAGTTCCTTCATAAACTGACTCAAGTTAAGGAACCACTAAAATTCTAATAGTTGAGAAACCTTCAATCATATGACTTCTAATATTGATTCTCAATAGGATGTTTCTTTTTAGATTGGTCGTGTTAAAAAATATTAAATTGCATAAAAAAATAGTGGTTAGCTTTGAACAGCTGCTCATATAAAGTGTTTTTGTTGCACTTAAGCTTGGTTATTTAAAAAGTGAGAGTGAATATTTATTGACCAAATGTTAACTCAATGTATTGGTAAAACCTTTATAGTGAAGATGCAGATGTTGTATCATGACTAAAGCAGTTAGGTCTAAAATCCACTCTATTTGCTGTGATTTAGATATTTTGGTCGTATCATTAGCTTTTGGAAAATCAATATGACTGAAAGCCGATAACATGCATCTGAACTTGATGAGTTATGTATTAATATATCATTAGACCTTGGTTATTAGTTACTTCGGATTTTATTGAGAAACTTATTTGAGCATTATAATTTGCTAGTTAAGCAAATGCACATATTTAGATTAGAAAATGATTACTATTACTTCTATCACGATATGTGTACCCTAAAAGTGTACAATAAGAATAAACTTCTCTATTTTTTGGTCAGTTTATATTTAAACCTTTTTCTTGGGCAAATTAACCACATTATCTTTGTGTTCATGCCATTAGTGTTCGTAGCTTAGTAGTTTCAGATTCACAATGTTGTACAACGTTTGTGTAAGGATTAGGGATTTCGCAACAACTGGATCTCATGGACAAATGCATACATTGTTGCCTTGTTACATCTAATGATTTACGTTTATTATATGTAATTCCAATGGGAAGTTCATTTGTTTCATTATTATCATTACTACTATAATATGATTTTATTAAGCTCCTCCAGTGATGGATTTTGATGAATTTCGCTGATCGAGTATGAATACCCAAGCGGATCTTTGCGCCGACTGTAGTACATCGTCCCCAAAATGGGCGTCTGTCAATAGAGGTGTACTCTTATGTGATGAATGTAGTTCCATTCACCGACAGCTAGGAAGACATATTAGCCAGGTTTGTTCTTTCTACGGTTGGTCTTAATTAATAAAAATATAGGTTAAACATCTTGAGAAGTCACGCTGGAGGCCGTCACAACTTTCTATGGTACGCTATTTGGCGTCTGCTGGTGCAAATGGGTATTGGGAACATGTACTGTACGAACCTATGCTTGCTGGGTTAAATTCAGATAATCGATCCAGCAAAGCCTTTCATCCTCATAAAAAACCTTTACCTACTGACCCAGTGCATCCAACCAAAGCTGATTTTATACGTGAGAAGTATTTGTTTTTGGGATTTTTTAAGAAACCACGAAACGTTAACCATGATGATTTAAACCAGCAACTCCATGCTAGTGTAAGGACAGGAGTTTTAGAGACCAGTCTGTATTTACTTGCTTTGGTAAGTAGTTGGTCTATTTTTCAAATGAAATTCTTGATTTAAGTTGTTTTATTCAAGTATGTTTATCCGCTAATGTGATTCTTTTTTTTTTCAGTTGCGTTGCCAGGTTAGCTGTGGAACAGCGATCCACAGCGACTGTGACACTTGAGAATTGTTGCTCGTCTATGGTTAGTCTTAACATTAAATGTAGTTTGAAATAATAATGGATTATAGGTGGTAGATTTACTGATAGGGGTAATGTGAAGTCGACTGCATCTGTATATTAGGCTGTATGAGTATAAAGGAGGGCGAATAATGTGGAAAATAATAATAATAATAATAATAATAATAATAATAATAATAAAAGTATAGATGAGCATTGGTTGCAATTGCATGACGCCATGAAAATGGCGGGAACAGTCAGTTGTGGGTTTGCGAAACGTCCCGCTTTAAGCACTGGGTTTCTTCTGGTTCCTTACAACTCATTGAAGCCCGTCGGTCTACTCCGGGTGACCGTGAGTTTGACCATAAACGAAGGATGTTACGTAAGGAAATTGGGCAAAGCTTGCGTAAGGACCGAGAAGCCTGGTGGTCGATGCGTGCTAATGAGCTGGAAGCAGCAGCTGCATCTGGTAACTACCGGAAGCTCTTCCAGCTCATCCGAGCCACTGGCAGCAAGAAGTCTGGTGTGAGTGAAACAATCTGCGAGGATGATGGGATGCCAATCACTAACATCCATCGACGTCTTGGACGATGGGCAGAATTTTTCGAAGGGCAGTTCAACTGGCCTGCTGCTCCGGCAACATCGGTCAGACTGTCCTGCCCTCCATGGCCGGTGACGACTGATCCACCAAATGAGGAGGAAGTCCGCAAGGAACTCCAACTCTTGAAGCGTTACAAATCACCTGGCCCAGATGACTTACCTCCGGCTCTTTTTAAAGATGGTGGTGACTTTTTGACTAAGGAATTGACGACGTTGTTTACAAAGGTTTGGGAACTAGAGTGTGTACCAACGTCATGGAATGAGTCGATAGTTGTCCCTATCTTTAAAAAGGGTTCACGTCGTTCCTGTAACAACTATCGGGGGATAAGTCTACTTCCGATTGCGTCCAAGCTATTGGCTTCCGTCATACTTCGTAGGTTGTTCAAAACCCGAGAAAGATTGACTCGCGAGGAGCAGGCTGGGTTTCGTTCTGGTCGAGGATGTATTGATCATATCTTCACCCTCCGCCAAATGTTAGAACACCGCCATACTTATCAAAGGCCAACAATCGTAGTGTTTCTTGACATCAGGGCTGCCTTCGATTCGTTGGACAGGACTGTTCTCTGGGATTGTCTATTGAAGAAGGGTGTGCCTGAGAAGTTTATTAACATCCTAAAAGCCCTATATAAAAACACCTCAGGCAGAGTGAGGGCATACAACCACCTCTCTCCATTGTTCCATTCGAGCAGTGGGGTTAGGCAGGGTTGCCCAATCTCACCATTCCTCTTCAACTTTGCCATCGATGACATTCTGGAAACAGCTCTGATGAATGTAAGTAATGGTGGTGTGGATCTGTTGCCTGGAGAAAGACTTCTCGACCTTGAGTATGCGGACGATATTGTCTTACTGTGCGATAATGCCCAAGGCATGCAATCCGCACTTAATCAGTTGGCAATCAGTGTCCGTAGGTATGGTATGTGCTTTGCACCTTCGAAGTGCAAAGTACTTCTACAAGACTGGCAGGATTCTAATCCTGTACTCACCCTGGATGGTGAGCAGATAGACGTAGTCGAGAAGTTCGTGTATCTGGGTAGCTGCATAAGTGCTGGTGGGGGTGTGAGTGATGAGATCAATGCACGAATAGTGAAAGCCAGAGCGGCTTATGCCAATCTGGGCCACCTTTGGCGCCTTCGTGATGTTAGTCTGGCTGTAAAAGGTCGGATCTACAACGCGTCGGTGAGAGCAGTTTTGCTCTATGCTTGTGAAACCTGGCCTCTCCGAGTTGAGGACGTTAGACGACTCTCTGTGTTCGATCATCGCTGTCTCCGAAGGATTGCTGACATTCAGTGGCAACACCATGTCAGTAATGCAGAGGTTCGGCATCGTGTGTTCGGGCACAGAGATGATAATTCAATTGGTGTCACCATCTTGAAACACCGACTTCGGTGGCTTGGACATGTTCTCCGAATGTCGTCCCAGAGAATTCCACGTCGTGCATTATTTGCCGACTCTGGGACTGGTTGGAAGAAGCGGAGAGGTGGTCAGTGCATGACATGGTGTCGTGGCATGAAAGAAAGCTGCAAAGGACTGGCTTGTGTTGGTCCTTCACGACTCCCTGGTTGGGGTCTGAGAGATGGTGCTACACAGTGGCTAGAGACGTTATCAGATATGGCTCAGAATAGAAGCCAGTGGCGATCCTGCTGTAACCTTCTTTTACTTTCTTCATAAAAAGTGGTTGTGTCTCCTTACCTGAAAGATTTCTTCTGATTGTACCTTTCCGTTCTCTCGTTACTACCACACTACCTTACACCAATCTCTTCGTTATTGTTCTCTTTTTCTTTTGCGCTCCTTAGTTTTTTTTTCTATTTCTCTTCGAATTCTCATTGTTTTGTGTGGCGCATATATATTGGCGCTCTCTTGTACCAATATCCATGTGTTGAAATAAATAAATAAATAAAGTATATTAGGCAGTTGGATGTTATTGATATCAGTACTTGAAAACTTCAACATTGGTTGCAACTCAGTGATTAGTAAATGTAAATGTATATTACGATGCAATAATTCATCAGTGCAAATTGTCGCAGTCTCAGAACGCACCTATAAACTTTATTTTCCATAGCCTTTATTAGCATGGTATGCTAGTCTGGCATTTGTCTGTGATGATTTGATTCCCCGATTATCAGCTGTTAAATCTCAGACTCAGTTTCACTCTGAACAGCTGGGTAGTGTTCTTACCTGTAAGATAACAAATATAACTCATAACGTAGTGAGAAATATTGTAATTGTAATCTGGGATGCAACATTTTTATCATTAGTTCAATAACCATTTCCATGTTGAATGGTGTATTAGCCAATGATGAAAATTCAGCAACAAGTATTATAAAAAGCCAGGAATTTTCGATGTCTCAGGTTCGCTGGTTAATTTCAATTGTTCTTCACTCAGAAACAATGTTGTTAATTCCTGCGCTCCTATGTTTCCTTTATATTTCCCTTATATTTCAAGAAACTGTAGTTTTCACCTTTCTATTGGAAATATTTAGGGTGCAAATCCAAATTTTCTTCATCCAATCAAAGGCACAGCACCTATTCATGTTGCATGTCAATATGGTCAAATTGGTCAGGTAGAATTGCTGTTAGCTTATGGGGCAGATGTTTGTATTCGTGATTCATCTGGAAAAACTGTAATTGATGTAAGTTCTTAAAAAACTGTTCTGAGATTGTTTTATTACTAGGCGTATCAACCGTTTATTTAAGTGCTAATGAGATTCACTAATCTGGTTTTATTTTAACTTCTAGACTCTGATAGAAGGTATCTAATCATACAAAATGAATACGTCTTAGTAAGATCGATAGCGAGCATCAGATGTCTAGTTTGAAAAGGCTCAACTAAGTCATGCACTTTCTTGATTTGAATTTTTTGCTATAAATTTATTGAACGTCAGCACCCGGGCAGTATCAGCCCACACACAAATCAATGGATTTGTGTAGTGTATATGTATTCGGTGCCTCTTTGTACCAATATTTTTGTTCAAATAAGTAAATAAAGTAAAATAAAAAAAACAAATAAATGCCTTAAAATACATGATCGTCTGGTCAAATTGAAAGTCAAGACTGATGTATATATTATTGAACTAGTTTGTGTGGCATAAGCAATCTCTAAATTTATTTATCATTTCTTGGTCTAGGCTATTCGAAACTCAATTTTCGATTATGTCCGAACTTTTGAATTAAGTTTCATAACTTTCTACCTCTATATCAGCATAATAATAATAGTTAAAAATACATTTCAGTTTCATCCCACTATTTATTATCTGTGCCAACCAGTAATCCGAACAAAAAAGGTTGAGGAGGTTGGATTGAAGAAAACGGGAATGTAATAAAAAGGAATGAAGGAATGATGAAGCTTGCAAGAGACAATTGATAGGACATGTGCAAATGAAGCTTTAAATGTGTGGTTTTGATATTTTACGTAGATACTCTGTAATGTATCAAATAATAAATTGGTCATCCCTACTTAACTTTTTCGTTCACTATAACACTATATATATCCTTTGTTTTTCACAAGTTTACCAGCACTCAAAAAGAATCCAATAGGACTAGGCGTAGATCTCAAACTCCAGTTAGTATCTCGGTCAGCTTAGTTTTTAAAACTGGACCATCATCCTTAAAGTCCTCCTGGGTCAATCTTTCGGGTCTTGTTTTGCATCTCTTCAGGTTGGATATGGCCTTTTAGCCACACTAAGATTCGGGAGACTTGTGTCAATTTCCCATGTAGGCTGTTAAATGATAGCGGGGTAACTGGAAGGTAAATGGAGGCAATTTGAACTTTTCCTTCAAGTGTTCTGTCAATAGATTAAATCATGTGGACTATGAGTGAATAATGGTCCGTTGTCTACCGAAACACCTTGACTAACAGCCAGATTCTTAATGCCTGCCTCCTTAATAAGTCGAAATCCTTGTCTACTATTGATTATCCCTTCGGTTATATTAATACTCTTAACTTCTTATTAAAACTTCGTGACAGGATACCTTTGGAAGCTTGGCGAAAATAAAATGATAAGTTAACGTATTATTTGAGGATAGTCTTTCAGTCAATGTCAGTTTGTGACAGAAATTGCCTTTTTAAATTCTCTGAAGTTTCCATACATGGAAAACCTATCCAAAGAAATATTTGATCTTATAATCATCTAGATACCTTACACATTTGTATATTCATATTTAGATATAGAAATATATACACACTATACACTTCATCATCATCATCATCATCATCGTTAATGTGATGTAAATCTATCTATTAATGAAAGTGTGTGTGTATTATTTCATGGGAGTGTAGTCTAACTAACCTATCATGAGGAAATTCACCAATTTCCTTATTGATCAGATAACAACATGGAGGGAAACTGTTTTATTTCTTTCCTTTTTCAATCAAAGATAAACTATCCCACCATTTTGAATGACATTTAGTACATTATTTGTTTATTTGTAAACAAATATCGGTACAAAGAGGCACCAAATATGCGCTACGTGATAACAGTGAGAATGTGAAGAGATAGAGAATGTAAAGCGCGCATAAGAAAAAGGGGGACAATAACGAACAGAAATTAGTGTATGATTGTGAAATAATAATAATGAGAGGGGTAGTTCAGTTAGCAGAGGTACAACCAGAAAGGATTCTTTCAGTGAAATAATTCCCTCTAACTTTCAAAGATAAAGTAAAAGAAAGTTACTGCAGGAACGCCACTGGCTTCTATTCTGAGCCATATCTGATAAAGTCTCAAGCCAACGTGTTGCACTATCTCTAGGACCCCAATCAGGCAGTCATGAAGGACCGACATATGCTAGTCCTATACAACTTCCTATCATACCACGACACTATGGTCACACACTGACCACCTCTTCACTTTTCCAACCAGTTCCAGTATCACCAAATAACGCGCGATGTGGGATCCTCTGGAACGACATTCCTGGTACATATCCAAGCCGCCGAAGTCGGTGTTTTAATGTGGTGACACCAAAATGAACTGTCGTCACTGTTTCCGAACGCATGGTGCATGTCACCGAACTGAGCACTTTTGAAGTGCGAAGCATATACCATACCTACAAACACTGATTGCCAGCACATTAAATGCGGATTGCATGGCTTAGGTATTATCGCACAGCAAAACAATATCATCTACACACTCAAGGTCGAGAAGTATTTCTCCAGGCAGCAGATCTACACCCCCACTACTTACATCTAATCAGGGCCGTTTCCATAACATCGATAGCAAAGTGTGACACCACTGCTTGAATGGAACAATTGAGAAAGGTGGTTGTATGCTCCCACTCTATCTGAGGTAGGACTTTTAAGATTTTAATGAGATCCTCAGACACACCCTTCTTCAATATACAATTCCAGAGAACAGTCCTTTCCGACGAATCGGAGACAGCCCCGATGTCAAGAAACATTACGATTGTTGGTTTTAGTAAATATGACGGTGTTCTAACATTTGGCGGAGGGTGAAGATATGAATGAAGACCAGCCTGCTCATCGCGAATCAATCTCTCTGGGTTTTGAACAACCCACGAAGAATAACAGAAGCCAATAGTTTGGACGCGATCGGAAGTAGATTTATTCTTCAATAGTTCTTGCATAGGTGACGTGAATGCTTTTTAAAAATAGGGACGATTATCGACTCATTCCATGATGTTAAAACACTCTCCAACTGTCAAACCTTTGTAAACAACACAGTCACTTCCTTAAAGAAATAAGCTTTTTTCTTGAGAATACTATGGACAGTTCAGTCGCATGTCACCACTCGTTTCGGCGGTACATATACTAAAAATGGAACGATACAGAGAAGATTAGCATGGCCCCTGCACAAAATCGTGGAGCGTTCCATATTTTCTAAACTCCATTCTCACCTCCCAAATCCACACTATCTGTCATCACAACCACTCGGTGTGGTGGTTGATGCCACAGAATTTACTCACTCTCCATCCTCCCTGATTCACCAACAGTGGGCTACACGTTCAGTTCTCAGAGTGACCGCAGACTGACGAGTGGTGATCAGTGAGTGGGTGGTGACATGTGACTATTGACCGTTAAACGAGATCTACTAAAACAATTGTGAAAAAGCAGATTAGTATCGGTTTCAGATTATTTACGTATATTAGCGTATATACCAAAAAGTCATTGAAACAATATTTCATAAATGAAAGGATTGCAATTATATCCTACAAATAGTTGAGTGTTATTGACAGGAACTAGTTTAATTAGCGATCATAATCTTAGGTCTCTGTTAGATGAGTTTACGGTGACTCTAATATAAAATTTGATCAATAATGTGATGTGGACTGGGTAATCCCACTGGACAGTTTACTCTTCTATGGAACTAATCAACATGAATTTTTTAATCACTTTTTCATCATAATTGTTAATTAAAATGTACATAAATACTTTTTAAAAATAATAATTGATCACAATTACGGGCTATCTATTTTCTGATATTCTTGCCACTTGGTGAGATAAAGTAATGCGGATAACAGTCGTCGTTTTTCTCAAAACGGCAACGAGATATCTGCTATACTCTAATTTTGATCTCGCTGTATGATCTTAAATGTTTTCTGCAAATTCAAAGGGCTCAGTGTGAAAGGGTTCATCGGAAGATTTGATATGATGGAAAGAAAAGTCAATTTTCGATTGATTTACTCATTATAAGTTTTGGTTCAACATTACTTCCGTTTTGATTCAGTGTAATGATTACTCAATGTAGTATTTGTTTTCTTTTCTCGTATGATATTTTATTCTGTATAATATGCGATATTCTTGTATTCGATTGACATGAACTATGCTTAGTAAGTGATTTGTTATAACTCCAAGTATTTTTCATATATGCGATTTCATCCTGATTATTAATCAAAAATGGGTGTGTTCTTACTTTCGCGTCGTGGGAATTGCAGAAGTCCCTCGTTCCGAGTATAAGTGATAAGCGTTTCCGACATAACAATCAGCGACGACCAGATACAAAAAGTAGCATTAAAAGAGCTAAGACAATAAGCATTCAAACGACAAGTTATAACAGTAATACATGTTTTTTTTTCTTTCTACCTGCTTATTTATACTGTGAATTAAGTATTTATCATCAAAATAAATGATGAATCCTATTTAGGTTGAATACCGAGAACACTCTGAATAAAATTTCTAGAGCTTCATTCATCCTAAGTTATAGTTTATTCGCAATATTGTTTTCTGGAAGTTGTTCAGTTGATTAGACGATAGAATTCATGCCCTTCATGGTATTTCCCAATATCGGTGTCTACATTTGATTTAAATGTTTGGTCACTTGAAATTTAAACTACGAACATCTCAAGGATGCACATTACTGATGAACTTGACAATACGATGTTATCAACAAACCCCATGAGTTATTTTATTTTCAATTTGTCATTATTATTGTTTGACTAGTATACTCTTCACTAACGGGAGTAAATTTGTCTTTTGTGGTTTGATACTTAAAGGTTCATTGGTTAATCGGTTGAACTCATTATGTGTATAAATAAAACTTGCCAAGTAGAAATAATTGTTGCTATGGTCTCTAACTCACTGCTTCAAATCACCCTATTTTATGAATAATTTTAACTCTATTTTCAATCTTTTCTCGTATTTATTCGATTTGAAATGGTTTACATTATCCCGTTGTTGATATTTTTGACTGAAATTTAATTAGTCTTGGTGGGTACGTAGGCATCCTGTGCGAATTATTTCGATATAGCTACTATAACACAAGTTGATATAGAATAGATGGAATGTAGCTAGCAATGGGATCCAGCATTGGGTATCTGAACTCAGTAGCTAAGTGGACAACGTGACTCCGTTTTAAGTAAACGGTCTTGGGTTGGAGTTCCAGAATAAAAATCAACTATGGGATTCAGGTACATCCATCTAACAATGTAATTTGTTCCTCTTTTTAAAGAATAAGGTTTCGTTACTTTTATATGCAACACAGGATACTAATAGATGATATGATGTTCGTACACGTGACGAAGGGCTTGTCAGTTGTAGAATCAGACTTCCTTATAAATATACTCTTCATTTCTTTCTTTCTTGCTATCTCTCGTTCTCTTTCAGTTAGCATTAGACAAAGCATTAGCATTAAATGAATCGATTATTTCTAAAGAAAAGATGGCAACAATGTCAAATGAAGAGAGGTTACAATCCGCTTGGTCTTCTATGGTTGATGTATTAGTTTCAGCGTATTATGATTTGACAGATAGTTTAGCTTATTTCCTTACACGTCATGTACCTGATCATAAAGCAGCTGTTTTTGGTGGAATCAATAAAAATACAAATCATAGTAATGAACTATCAGTGAATAATAATAACGGTGAAATAATAACAAATGGTCATTTCTTAATTTCAACTTCATTAATACATGAATCAAATGGTACATCATTGGCACCGAAATCAACGAATTTAAAATTGACTAATTCCTCTGGACATACTATTACTTCTACTGCTACCTCAAATGTTGAACAAGCAGACGACCAAGAAGATTGGATCATTAAAGCTAGAGGAAGATTAAATAATCTATCTAATAATGCATTTATCGTAAGTTCTTCGTTTGTTTGTTCGTTCGTTCATTCGTTTTTCTTTCAAAATGTAAAATGTTTCGTGTGCTTCATAAAAATTTTCCCAATTTATAAACTTTAATAAAAAAAAGAACAAATTTCGTAGTAGAATAACACAAATTCATTTATTTCATGGATTCTCCTCAGCTGCTTAAAACCTAAAACCATTAAGACGAAGTGAGTGTACATACTTTATATACGAAATGTCTAGAATGAATTGAGTTAGAATCTGGAGATGGGATAATATTAAGAGATAATAATATGGAATAATTAACATTATTCAAACGTTCGCTTTATTCATAAGTATTCTAGGAGAGCATATAAATGGAAATTATTTTTAAACTGAAGATAGATTATATAATATAGACTAGTTGAGCAACTAGTTTAATTCGAACTTAGTTGTTGGTGTTTTTATACCAAACCAAATGCTTATTGCGATGATTAATTGTGGACAAATACCCGCTTTATTTGATCTCTGATTATCTTTACCAGTTTACATGTATGTTCCAAAGCACGTAAAATGATTGTCGACGCATGTTAATGGGTGAAATAATCTACCTGTTGTTTTTTGCTTTCCTTTTTCTACTTTGATAATTATGAGCCAAATATCAGTTAGTTGTAAACAGCATCGAACCTAGTACATATTTGCTTCGCTTCAAGTTGCTATACCACAATGGGCAGTACAGTAAGATAAAATTATCAAAGCAAATCCCAGGGTAGTAGAGGTAGTAAAAGTACCAGTGATACTAGAAAGCATTGTGGATAGACAGTATGACTCACGAAGAAAGAATGGATTTATGGAATGGGAATAAAAGTTTTAAGGGAAATAATAAATATCTAGATCATTGAGAGCGGTTCTGAGTCATGTCACCTAACGCCTCCAGCCACTGGTCACAATAATCTCATGGATCATAATCAGGTCGTCTACACATACATATACAACTGAGTCCGGTAGTCAATAACTCTATAGACTGATACCACTTCTCAGTTTAAGCATTTTTTGAAATAAGTTTTCCGAATTGTTAGTAAACAACGATGGAATTACATTAATAAAATTGTCTTAGATGCCTTACTCTTACGTTGGACGTCTGTGCGATCAAGGTTAGACCTTTCAATTATCATTAGTCATAATTATGAGGCTGTGTATTACAGTTGTGAGGAAATGTGTTCAAATCGTTACACTAAATGGAACCAGTATCCAACGCCTCATAGAGTGTTAACTACATAAATATTCTCACTCTTTCACTATTGCACTGAAGTGTATTTTCTACTCCAAAATATTAGTGTGAGCTGTGAATACACTCCCTAGTTTTATGTATTGAAGAAGTTAGGAAATTTCTCCCCAATTTACTTATATTCGTGTTTTGATAACCTTGGACTGGATTGGTCTTTTGTAACTAGAATCTGGTGAATTATTATAGGGAATGAAGAACTCAGGCAGGGAAAGACCAATTTATTAGTTAATGCAAGGTTACAGAATGTCCTGGTGAAATACGAAAATCATACATTAAATACTTCATTTGCACATCTTCTATCAGTTGTCTCTTACAAGACTTCATCATTTCTTCCTTCCTTTAATTATTACATCGGAAGTTTTTAGGGTCACTTTACAATAAGGGCTCGATTATTGAATAACGATAATTCAAATTTATGTGATAACGAGTGTTAGTAAGTATAAAGTTTACAACTACTAGCTTATTATTATCTTCATCTCCCGGAAATAAGCATACAATTCGATATTATCATAGCTCAAGTAGTTTGTTAAATAATGCGTTGATATTTGAAACAATAAGTACTGGGTTTGTGTCTTATCATGAACAGCAATATTGGAATACAAGTACATCCAACTGACAGGATCCGAAAACAGGATGAAATACGCTTCCTGACCTTCATTGCTAATCATTCCAAATCTGTGATACACTATATAACATTAAATCATCCGCTCAAAGAATAATCCGTGTATCAACATAGTCTACTTACTTACTTACATCTGTTACCCCTCATGGAGCGGCGCTTGCTTCGTGATGCAGTTTGTTGATTTCCTCAATTTATATCCTATCCACTTCCAGCATCTTTTCCCAATTTCCTCTTTAGCTGGAACTTAGTTTGTTCTCTCGCACAGGTAGTTCTTCAAGTTTCAGGTCCTTAGTGTAGAACTGTCTTGACGTTCGTATTGAAGAATCTCAATTTGATATTGGTTGACAGTTCCAAATGTTCTTTAAATGTAGAAATGCTGACCTTGCTTTGCTTATCCTTCCCTTTACATCTTCATCGGATCCTTTTTGTTAGTCAGTAATGCTGACAATAATATATATATCTTCCTAACGTTATGTAATTTATGAAATAAAAGGCAAGATTGCTTATTTGAAAGTCAACAGTATACATAACTACCTCAATTTCATACTTTACATCGCGGATTCATCTTAGTTAGACAATCATCCAAAACCAGAGAGCATTGGTCAGCTGTTATGTCTTAGTAGGGAACTCCTCAGAATTACACATCCATGTCGTCTCACCGTTTATCGAGCCCAGGATAATTAGGTGTCGTATTAAGCGCTTATCCTCCTAACTTCAATCAGTTTGCGTTACCTGGTCTGTAGTGACAACTGAATGTCCTGGGTTCGATAAACAGTGCGAGGACATGGATGTACACTTCTGAGGAGTTCCATACTAAGACATAACAGCTGACCAATGCTCCCTGGATTTTGATGAGTGTCAAACTGATATCATTTTGTGACGTCAGCTATAAAATTCAACAATCTCTACAAACCCACTCCAATTATTAAGTAATCATTTAATATGTAGGTTCTTACAAATATTCGTGTTGGTTCTTGTTGGAAAGTATTTATTTATTTATTCAAACACATGGACATTTGTACAAAACGGCACCATATATATATATATATATATATATATATATATATATATATATATATATATATATATATATATATATATATATGCCCACCCCGAGGCAGCATGGAATGATATCCGAAAAGCTGTGGAAACAGCAGTGATATCTGCTAGTAAGGTAAACCGTAAGGTTAGGGAGCAACACTGGATCTCAGCAGCATCTATCGCACTGATAGATGCTCGGAAACTCATTCCACCTGGCTCTGAACATAATGAAGAGCGGAGTCAGCTTAAGCGCAAGCTGACAAGAAGTCTACGCAATGATCGCGAACAGTGGTGGGTAGCGAAAGCAAGAGAGATGGAAAAGGCAGCGGCAATAGGTAATAGCAGACAATTGTTCAGACTCGTTAAGGAAACCGGAATTAGGAACCCGACCGTTAGCGAAACAATCTCAGAGAAAGATGGACATATTATTCATTCTCAATCCAGGAGATTGGATCGATGGGCAGAACACTTTAGGGATCAGTTCAACTGGCCTTCAGCCACACTTCGGTTTCCCACGATCTCCAGTCAACCTGAATGGCAAGTTAATGTAGGTCCTCCGTCCCTTTACGAAGTTGAAAAAGCCATAGGAAATCTGAAACGAGGGAGAGCAGCAGGCCCTGACAGGTTTACTCCTGAGATTTTTAAGGATGGTGGTCCAGTATTAGCAATGAGATTAACTGAGGTCTTAGGTAGAATTTGGGAACTGGACGTAATCCCATCTGACTGGTCTCAATCACTGATTGTGCCAGTTTTTAAGAAAGGACAAAAGTCCTCTTGTGACAATCACAGAGGAATCAGTTTGACTAATATAGTGTCTAAAATATTAGCTTCAATAATACTTCGACGCCTAACTAAAGCTCGTGAAGAGCAGACTAGAGAAAACCAGGCTGGTTTTCGACCTGGACGTGGTTGTATAGATCAGATATTCACACTACGTCAGGTTCTAGAACACAGACACACATTCAGACGCCCCACAATGGTAGTATTTCTCGACCTTAAGGCGGCATTCGACTCTGTTGATCGTGAGGTTCTATGGCAGTGTTTGTCACTGAAAGGAGTACCAAAGAAGTACATTAACCTTATAAAGGCTCTCTACTCGAACACAACTGGTCGAGTGAGAGCTTATGGCGAACTGTCATCAGAATTGATTACCTCAAGTGGTGTTCGTCAGGGCTGTCCACTCTCTCCATTCTTGTTCAACTTTGTCGTTGACGTACTTTTAGAGATAACACTTTCCTCATCTAAATTTCCAGGGGTTGAACTTCTACCGGGAGGTTCACTTGTTGACTTAGAATATGCTAATGACATAGTTTTATTTGGTGAAGACGCTGACAAAATGCAGAGTCTTCTGACCACTCTAAGCAACAATGCAAGCATGTTCGGGATGCGATTCTCTCCCTCGAAATGCAAAATGTTGCTTCAGGATTGGGTTACATCGACACCCGAACTAGTGATAGGGAGTGAAGTAGTTGAGTGTGTCGACCGCTTCACTTATCTTGGAAGTCTCATCAGCCCTTGTGGTTTAGTGTGTGACGAAATCTCAGCACGGATACAGAAGGCTCGACTAGCTTTTGCCAACTTGCGTCATTTATGGCGTAGGCGAGATATCCGTCTATCAACCAAAGGACGTGTTTACTGCGCAGCAGTTCGTTCCGTCCTACTTTATGGCAGTGAAACATGGCCGGTAAGAGTAGAGGATATCCGTAGGTTACTAGTATTTGATCATAGGTGTCTTCGAAACATTGCTCGTATATCATGGGACCATCGAGTAAGTAACACAGTTGTTAGGAAACGGGTACTAGGTAAGGATGGCAAATCAATTGATGAAGTAGTGAAACTTCATCAGTTGAGATGGCTGGGACACGTGTTACGTATGCCCAACGACCGACTGCCTCGACGTGCTATGTTCAGTGGTATAGGAGTAGGTTGGAAGAAAGCTAGGGGCGGCCAAACCAAAACATGGCACAAGTCCATGAAGTCACTGACAAGTGGCCTGAGTCATGTTGGTAGGTGTAGACTACCTGGTTGGGGACCGCGAGATGATAGCAACCGATGGTTAGAGACCCTGAATGACATGGCTCAAAATCGTTTGCAATGGCGCAGGTGCATCCACTCTTTGTGTTCTCCCAAATTTTGATCTCCTTATTCCTCCTTGTCTCTTTTTTTCTCCTCAAATTTATTTCACTGTATTATACTCTTTAAATAACATCTCCAAACCCTAATCTTCCCGATTACTGCTTATACTCTTATTACCTCTACCACTACGGGATTTGAATCGACCACTGCATCTCTGTGCTAATGTGGTGTGGCAACTCGAACTGATGTACGTACGTACGAAGTTCTACGTTGTTACTGACTGACTTACTGGCTCCACACTTCGTCACTCGCTTTGTGTGAATCCTGAAATACTGCCCGTGCGCCCAAACAGAAGCAGGAGGTTTCCTTAAGAGGCCACACTTCGAGTCTTCGATCTAAAGGTCTAATCCACAAGACAATGGAGTGACGTGGGGAGATGCATTCCCATGGTAGCTGGTGACCAGGAATTGTCCCATATGCCATTTGTTCCCTCAGGATCCTGAAGCTCATGTGCACTGTTGATGTGGAATCAGAGTTCTCTCGTAGGTGAACTCTTCGTGTCCGCCAACCCAGGTAAAGCGCCGGACACTCGATTTTCGTCTTCTCAATTTCGTAAACAAGGGACTTCATTGTCAGTGGCTGTCTACGCGTGGCCATGTGAGAGTATTTTGAGAAGGATAGATGACTCTTCACCCTCAGTCGTACCACGTCATTTGAGGGCTGTTAAAAAGCGTATAGGACATAAAACCAAATATAAAGGTTGAGTTATTGTTCTTTAGATAAATTAGTTTTCATGGTTTTAATCAATTATTTCATATTTGTCGATTTGCTTAATTCTAACTTAAAGCTTTCTAAGTATTTATTAATTAATATTCTATGTTTTTGGCGTTTTTTAAAAATTTAATTAGCATACAATTAACGATATAAATAAGTCGTTCAATTTTGAAACAAAAATCTCACAAAAATAAACATCTATTGAGACTTCAGTTGTGCTTATTTTCATATTTATGACCAATTACATGAATTACAAACCGAAATAAATAGTACTTGTAGTCACTTATTATAGACTGATTGACGATATTTAGAGAAAGCGGATATTTACTTGTCTTGTTTATCCAATGAAAAAGAATAACAGTAATAAAATTCATAGAACAATTGTTAGTGAGATGTAAGTTTTTAGGTTCCACTCAAGATAAATCTATGCCAACAGAAACAACTAATCAATTGAAGTCGTTTGTATTTACAATTTGGAGAATGGACAAAACTATAAGAACAATGCTTAAATATTTACTGCTACATTTCATAATTAAAAGTTTAACTATACGAACGAGTCTATCATCAAGAAAGCATATATCGAACTGAGATGATAATTATCATTTGGATATTTATTGATTTCAGTGAAGAATTGAATTCAATCGCATATCCATTGCATAAGTGATTGGTTGTCTGAACTCAGTAGCTACGTGAATAGAACGATGCCATTTGAAGTAAACGGTGCTGGGTTGGAGTTCCGGAGTGAAAATCAACTCTGGGATTCAGGAATATCCGTCTGACAAGTTCCAAACAAAACGAAATGCACGTCCTGGATTTCACTGTTAGCTACATTTTATTTGTTCTATATCCATTTGTATCTTGATGGCTTTATCTAGGTAATCCCGTATACCAACCAAGACTAAACCAATTTTAGTCAAAAATAACAGGATAACCTAAACCATTTCAAATTTGATGATAGAAACTAGTTATAAAATCGAATTTTTAAGGAATAAATTCATCGACAACTGTGTAAACGTATAGGGTACATGGGAAGTTATATGACAAGCTAAAAAAATACTAGATAAGGCGGTAACATTTTGATCATTCTGTGAATTATTGATAGAAATCACTCAAATAAAGTGTTTCATTATCCCTTCAAACTTGATAATCAAATAAATAATTCTTGCATCTATTCTAATAAACATGTAAGAATAATTCAAAGTACATGTGTTTAAATTCTGATGATTACTTTCCTCCGAAATAAGAATAAACATTACAAGAATGTATATTATAAACGTGAGGATCTTTTTGAGTCATCTATAACTCTATTTACAACCATGCCAACAATTTCTAAAGAAAGTTGCGTTTAAATCTAATGGATAATTTCTTCTCATGAACTATCAAACTATTTGTAGGTATCATTACCAAGGTTTGATTTGATAATTTCGAATGAATTGAGCATTGGGTAGATTGTTATAAATAAATAGCATATTTGCCACTACTTCTGAAGTAGTGACTTACACTAAGCCACGAAACGTCAGAAAATCTAATTTTTCTACTCATTGGAATATTACAAATATACTAGTTATTTATATCAAACTATTCGAAAAGACATGTATTAATAATGTTTAAACAACACATATACTTTGTAAGACACTCGATTTTACATTCAAAATTGTTTTGTTCATTTCTTCTGGGGTTTTTTCTAAATAACTAAAAACAGTAGAGATTTTCATAGTCTTTTTATCGCTTATTTATGTTAATCTTAATACTTCCATTTAACTGAGTTGATTTAATATGGTCTTACGCTGAAAAAAAAACATGTGTTTGATCGTGATCTAGTCAAATTAAAAAACTTTCATTCAATTATGTTTTTAGTGTTTCAGTCAATACTTTTATTTCTCCGTAGACGTTCCATGTTCACATGTAAATTGAATTTCATTTCACTTCCCCGGTTTTCTCCAACAAATAAACTTTTTTTTAAATGGATGGCGATGAAGTTTGAAGCGAACGGTACTAGCTTTGAGTTCCTAAGTGACACATCAAATTTGGGATGCAGGTAGATCCAGCTGAAGTGTCCCAAACAGAATGAAACATGCGTTCTAGATTCCACTGCTAGCCACTATCTCTATTTGCTTATAAATCTTGTTTATATTAAAAAAAATCAAATAATTTCTCTTATACTAATTGTAAGTTAATAAATTCAATTTTCGATCATGAAAAAGAAACCATTTTTGACAGACATTTTGGGCTAGTTGTTTTTTTTTCTATTTCTATTCATTTGATTGTAACGCAATTCGATTAAATTTTGTAATTTCCTTATGAAAAGTACGTCAAGTTCAATTCGTTATGCAAACATTCAGGAAAAAGTTTATTTTAAATTATAAGTAAGTTTAAAATATAAATTTAATATTTTTGTAAGTAGTATTTAAATTGAAGTGAAAATGTTGTTCATACAGAAATGAAGTTAGACGATTGAATCGGTTACTGTACAACGATTTCTTTGGTAACCATTTTTTAAAGATAAATTATGAAGTACACAATAAAATACCTGGTTTATTTTTTAATGTGAATCGTGTTTTTCCTCTTTGATTACAGGATTTATGTATTGATGTATATGATGAAGCAGATCGTCGTTTAACAAATTCATTTCTTGAAAATCTGGATACATTTAATAATCAGAAACATTTAAACAACTATTCAGTATTCAATGGTTCTAATGTTAGCAAGACTGATGCAGACGATGCAGACAATGACAACAATAACAACAACGTCAGCACAAAGAATGAACTACATAATAGTATAGTTAAAGAGACCAGACCTGACTCTAGACCATCTTTACATAAAACAACAACACTACGTCAAACATCTGCAATTACTAATTTAACGCTATTTTTTCTACCTCCAAATACAACTTATTCATCAGTACGTAATCAAGCACGTCAAAAATTAGGTCGACTATCTACCATTGAATTTCATACTTTAACATTAGATGTTCTCACTGAAGCATCGATACGTTTATTGCCATTATTTTTACCATTGACCAATGTAATAAATCCGACTAGTACAGCTGTTACTGTTCCAGCTACAACGACTGTTGAAATGTCTTTCAAAAAATCACGAAAAACACACCATTCATATACAGACTATTTTAATTCAGATAAACGACGACAATGAATGAATTTATTGTTGCGCGTCGTAATGGTCCTTTACCATCGTTACCATCACCTAAGACAAAAGATGATCATATAGATGATGTTGAACGTTTACATAGTACTAATAATAGTGATGGTAGTAGTAGTCCATGTGATAATTTAAATAAACAATTAAATAATGAATGTAATGATATTTTACAAGAAACATTGATTTCGGAGAATTTACCAGATCATGAAAATTTACGATTAGAAATGTCATCTTCATCATCACCACCGGTGAATGCAAAAAGTGAAATTTTATTGGAGAAATTCGTTCGTTCTCGTGATGACCCTGTATATGATCAGGTAAGCGGTAATTGTAGAGAAAAATCTTGTCAATTTGTCTAATTACAGTTTTCTATTTCTATTTGTTAGTTTAAACCTATTGTGTTGAACATCTAACCTGAAAATAGTTAATACGTTAAAACAACAATTAAATGTTTTAATGATCAACAAATACAGAAAATTATGTTGCCGGTAAGGTTAATGAATGTTCTCAATGATGATGAACTAATCATTAATAACTCGTTTCCATATCATCTGTATTCATTCATCCATTCATTCACTCACTAACTCACACACTCATTAATTGGTAGGTGTAGACTACCTGGTTGGGGACCGCGAGATGATAGCAACCGATGGTTAGAGACCCTGAATGACATGGCTGAAAATCGTTTGCAATGGCGCAGGTGCATCCACTCTCTGTGTTCTCCCAAATTCTAATCTTCTGAATCCTTCATGTCCCTTTTTTCCTCTTTCCAAATTTATTCCACTGTATTATACTCTTTAAATAACATCTCCAAACCTAATCTTCCCGATTACTGCTTATACTCTTATTACTCTACCACTACGGGATTTGAATCGACAACTGCATCATCTCTGTGCTAATGTGGTGTGGCAACTCGAACTGATGTACGTACGTACGAAGCTCTACGTTGTTACTGACTGACTGACTGACACTCATTAATTAACTAATTAGATGAATTGTTACACTTCACAAAAATACAGTAAAATAAAAAAAACTGAGTAGTTAAATATCAAAGAGATAATGATAGTTGTAATATAGGGGTTAGTGAAATTCCCCGGTACAGCCGACGATGGGGGGGGTTCTGCTCTTTCTCCCGAAATACTTATGGACACGCGTATATAGCCACTATCAGGGAAGTCATACTCACCACCTCGGGATGAGGGTGCTGTTTACGAAGTTGAGAGGACAGAAAGCGAATGTCCGCCGCTTGGATTGCGTTTGCGGCTACAGACGATTCATCTAGGGGAGTTGAACATGGTGTAGATGGGTTCCAGGATACTAAGGGAACGTATGGCATATGAGCCTATTATTGGTCACCGGCTATCATATGACCGCACCTTTTAACGTTGCTGCATTGCCTTGTGGATTAGACTTCTACGTCAAATGTTCTGGGAGTGGCCTCCTAAGAAAACCGCCTGCTCCGGTTTGGGGACCCAGGGAGTATCCCAGCCTACAAATAATTTTCTTCTTTTGGCGCATATATATTTTCTTGCCCTTTTATACCGATGTTTTTGTGTTTATATACATGAAGAAATAAAATAGATAAATATGAAGACCATAGTTTGAAAAGAACGAATGCATTTACGAAACGGAACGTATGTAATGATATTGAAGATTAGTGTTTAGATGAAAATTAGGGATGAATTTATTTTGCATTATTACGATATATCCTTATTTATGCCATTTAATAATCACTTGATACAATTTTCGTTAGTGGAAGGAAATTTACATTTATCATAAAAAAACTAGATAAGTTGAGGTCAACCTAGCAATTATCGTTTGATTGTGCTTCCTTTCATTTATTCATAATGTTATCTCCTTATTTGTGTAGTACGTAGATTATCGGTGTACTACTGTATACGATTTTATTATGTATTAAATAAATTAAGTGTTATAGTGAAATATCGACTTAAACAGTGTCAATTAATCATTTCTCATCTATATTTGATAAATTAGTTTTCATACAATTAACTTAAAATTATAAAGTGAATTACCTATTTAATTCTTTCTACTTTTCAAGGGTTCTCTAGCTATAGTGTGCTTTTGTTTCTTAGTAAAAAATGAACACATTCAACTTGAAAAGTTTTCTTTGAAACTAATTTACACATGATTCCTTGGAATTCTTATTGTTCAACCATTACCAGTATAGTTTTTCAAGTGCATTAAAAATCAGATAAAACTTAGTGCTTTATCATTTTATCATTTCAACATACAAGATAAATTTTAAGATTTACACCTACCGGTTATAAATTGTAAAATTTAATATTTATCCTTATCTGTCTGATACTGTTATAACTAAGTATTTAAAATGTACTGGCTTATTGATTAAGGTGTTAAACTTTCAACTGCCAAGTCCAAGACTCAAACCCAGTTCCTCTTATTTCACTTGGAGAAACCGGATAGTATCATTAACCCAAACACTTCAAGTGTGGCTCATACTCAAGTACCTGCTTAATGAGTCTGATTATATCATATGTATTCGTTAGAAGTTTTGGATTAATAAATCCAATGAATAATTCTGTTTGTTCAATCCCTTTCTAATATAGAAAGACAGATATCATCAACATAGATTTTGGCACAGATGTGTATTGTCTAAAGTTGCTACATTGAATCAGGATAAAGAGATAAGAATAACAAAATCGCCGAAGTGATGTAGTAGCAATGATATAAAGAAAGGTTCGACTTCGGAATACAGCTTGAAATGTATGTATGAAGAGAAACTGGAATTGACGATCGATAGGGAAGATGTAGAGTGGATGGATGTGGGTTATTGTGACCGATTGTCAGCTATGCCACCTAAATTACCTAACCACTGATTATAGTTATCTCATGGACCTCAACTAGGTAGTCATCATCTACCAGAATGGCTCAGCCCAATAGTCAATGACGTGATGAACTGATACCACATTTTGTTTTAGTTGTGCCTAACATTTTTCGAACCTAGTACGTCATTAACAAGCATTGCTCGTGGACGTAGGTGGTGGTTAAGCCTACTTAACATATTTCCTAATAATTTCAGTCGATAAGTATTTACCACCTAAGAATAACACTTAAGAGAAATTTATTTCACTTTCAATGATAAAAAATCATTAATAATATACGCATAGCTTTGTACAATTGTTTTTAAATGGTTAATGCGAAATTGTTATTAAACCATATCGATCTATTGGGACCCCACATATTAATGCTACCATTTTTAACATCGTCATCATCAGTACACATACTGTTTTTTTCTAGCGGTGCTTGTAATTATACTATTGGTGCAATTGAAGTGAATGTGTTATTCACAGGTATCATGTGTGAGTGAGAGAGAATAAGACTTCTTAGACCTTTAGTAGTTGAATGAACGGCTTTGATAATTACAAGAATATGTATAAATTTTTATGCAATAGATAGTTCATTTTGTTTTATGACTTGAACATAAGCTCCAGTGAAACATTTAATTTATTTACATTAGTCGTTTGAATCTTCCCGTTAATGTTATGGACTACAATTAAGTAATCTTTTTTATATATAGTTCACCTGTGCGGATAGCCTCGATATTGACACTAAGTTACAAGCATTTTGAGCATCGTTCAATGGTGGCTATCAGTGAAATCCAGGACGGGCGCCTGGTTCTATTAGGTATTCATCAGCTGCATGTATCGAGACTCGAACTCATTATCTCCGGCTTCAAACGTCCAACCTCACACTTTGCTAACTTTAGTGTTGGGGATGCTAAATCCCCAGAAATCACTTGGTAAACTTTTTTTTGTAATTTTATTTCGAAAATTTGAATCCCTCGCTCTCGCTTTAAAGACACACATTCTTACCTTCAGATTGTATTTCCCACTTGAAAGAACCATAAATGTCATTGGCTCGTTCCCTCTTTTAATATGCTATTTTGTGATGTTTCCCAAATACATTTTTATGCTGTATGCATATACGCTTGCATTGTGTGGTTGTCATTGTTCGAGCTTCTGTCTGCTTGTGGGATTTACCTTTCTTTCATGTGAACCATGTCTTCTCTATCTAATTAGCGCGACTGGGACGCATCGGAATATTTAAGCTTGTCTTGTCGTTGCGTCTCTGATCCTTCGTTCCATTCACCGATCAGGTGATCTCATAATCTTTTTAAACATAGCACTTATTTGTCGAATTTGATTATTTATTATTAGAAAATAAATTGTGTAGTTATTGTTGTATATTTTGCCTAGTCAGATTGTGAATATTACTGATAACAAAATTTAACCACTGCTAATAATAATAATGGTAACAATACTGAATCATGAATACACACTGTTAAGGTGTCTTATACATTATTATCAATGTACAATCTAACAATATCATTCAGTTTATGTTCCTCGTTTCAAATAGAAATAATTTGTAAAAAAAAAATAAGCGTAAACTTTGAGTGTAAACAAATAATTCACATTCACACAAAACTTCCTAATGTAAATGAACTTTCTTTGTTTGTCATTTTTATATTTTAAGAGAGTTCAGGGTAAAATATAAACTTCTGATAGACTAGAATAAAGTTTTTTGGAAGCATATATATCGTTTATAGCAAACAATAATATTGTAAATGATATTAATGAGTCATACCACTTATCTAAAATAATAATAGTACAAGGTTAGATGAGACACTAACTAAAGAATGTCATATATTAGATACAAATTGTTGTTATTGAATATAAATATTCCTTCCTAATTGTTTTTTTTTCTTGTAAATGTTATCAGTTAAAGCTTGTGAAATAGTACTTTATTGAGGTTGTCTTCTCAGGATGTACATATATAGCAAAAATGATTGATTAATTACAGTCCATAGTATTGAAAAACGATAGTTTACAAATATTTAATATCTTTATACCTGTTGAACAAGTTAGTGACTATTTCGACTCACTAGCCCAATAATTAATGCGTTGGGTGTTTAAAGCAATATAAACTAGATTCAAATATTAGTGTAAGAATACACACTGGAATATCAGTGTGTATTACAACTGACGAGTCCCAAATAAGAAGAAACCCGCATCCTAAATCATACTGCTTGCTATGTGCTAAATATACCAAAACTTGTAACACAACGCTATTATCGAGGTAATCCGCTGATAATGCACCTATGATACTTGAAACTGATCAGTTACAGTCTTAAATATCAAAAACAAGGAATTATAGAGGCTTACTGATGTATCAGTTAGTTTTAATGTTTATTAAAGACTAATTTTACAACTCAAGTATTTTATTATATAATTAATGTGAATTATTCACAGAATAGTGTGATTACTAGTCGAAAGTGTTAGTAATCAGTTGATTGGTTATTTATCTGATCAGAGGTTCGTTTCAACTATTAGAACCTGAGTGTTCTGTTAGTGGTATCATTCGACATTATACAATCGATAGAGCTTACTACAAACAAATAGTCTCATCATATATGAAAACATCTTAGAAACTATCACATGGATTTTAAAACCCTTCAAAATCAGAATCAATTAAAAGGCAACACTATCTTATACAAACTAGCAGAGGGCAAATGCAATATTCTTGTCAAAATAAATTGTATCGATTGCGACAATTACTACATTAGGTAGATCAATCCGTAATCAGTAGGGATGTCGACAAGTCATATTAACCAATCAATAATATAAGGGACAGCCAATCACATGATCAAAGCTCAACAAAGCAAGACAGTCAAAAGTAATATAAAGTCAACAAGTTTGAAAACACCTCTTTAGACAGATACTCACGGACAATCAGATAGAAGGTAACTTTAGACTTCAACAGATTGTTCTTAATTCTGAGTTTATGTAAAGCTTCTTTATGTTTCATAGCCAAAATACTCTGCAAGATTATGTTTACTATTGAAGTTTTCTATTTTCTGTTAACCCTTTATTTTCAACTCATCTTTGTTATTATACTGTTTTCTATTGTTTTCGATCTTCTGCTTTATCTGTCTCCAAGTTAATTTTTACTCTTACTCGTAATTCTCTTCTTTCTTTGTGTATGTTCTGATTTGACCAAATGTGAACCATTAACTAAGTTATTTCCCAAGTTAATATCACTTAGTGAAGTAAACTACGTGAGGTTATTCACTTTTGTGGTTTCTAACCAATGAAATGAACCATAAGAAATGATTGTACAATGAGTACCTTTTTGCATAAATATGGTGTATATGTATGTATGTATGTGTTCTGGAATTATCTACAATCATTAGTTTTATATTCTAGATAATATTGTGTATAAAACTTTGTATATGATGCTACTTGATATTAGCGTAGTCGTGTTCAGTAGACCAAAGAGTAAATCAATAGCATTTAAGTAAAGAATCAATTTGAACAAAATATATCATTGATTTCGAGGTTAATGTTAAACTCGGTTAAATTATTCAGTCTCTTGTAACATTTTCAGTCGCTTTAAAATGTAAAACACGTGATTTGACATTTTAGCAGTTTATTTTAACAGTTAACCAGTTGGATATACTGTTATATCCGAGTGTAGATTAAATTATGGGTAAATTCTGAGAATTATTTACGAAATAATATTATATATATGGGGCATTTTCTTCTTCATGGCCGGAGTATAACAGAAGCTCCCTGAAGCTAGTCGTTGGTGTCCAACTTGCACCCGATGTGCTTCACTGATCCCATGCACCTCTAGGTCGTATCTCCTCATTTCTGCAGCAATTTGGAAGACTCTCCCAGTCTCCCACATCGTACGAACATTCCATGTACCTAAATAAATGATTGCTCTGGCTGTCAGAAGGGGCATCGGCCTCGTGACTTCCGAAGGAACTCGGTTTTCATCATGAGGCGTCATAACTCTTCTAAAGGAAGACCTTCTGACTGCCAGGGCAGTGTTTCAGTGGTTTGGATAATTTTTTCTGGTTAGCATTTTTTTAGCGAGTTAGTTTTATACGGGATGGGCTCGCTAATCCCATGCCCAACCCTTCTCTCTCCGGGCTTGGGACCGGCAGTAGCCCTCGAAGGGACTCCAGGTGGAGTTAGTCATCTGTTATGTATTGTTTTATAATGTTTGGTTGAAGTTGAGACATGATATGTTGTGCTCTCTCTCTTTATATATATCGTAAATTTTACCATTACCCATTTAGAAAAGTGTAGAGTCGTTTTCTTTTCCTGACATTTATTCGTCTTGCATATGTATTGTACTTTTATTATGGTACGTATATTGTGTGAATGGTGTCTCGTCAAAATAGATTTCTCATAATTTTTCAAAAAACATTATCCGGTAATTTTATCATATTTTGATAAAATGAAATGAAGAATCCAGAATAATTGACTTAATTTACACTTTGAATATAATTTCTTATATTGATTTTTATATCTCTGCTCGAATCATTAATGACTGACAGTAAACATGAACTGACTACCCATTGTGATTAATTCGAGATTATTCTTGTTAGTGTTATTGGTTAATATAAAGTATATTGTATTGTGAGTCATCTTTTTAAACAGTTGATTTGTTTAAACTGTTTTAATTCTGTTTAAATGATAGAGAAGTATCAGTTGAAGTAAAATGTTTTTAGTTTTTACATGACACTATTCGGCAATAGATGTATGGTAAAAAAATCGGCCAATGAGTCTTTGGAAACTAAGGTACATTGTACTTTATTATCAAAACGTTTTCCTTTGACCCAGGGTATTATTGGAGTATAGATATTCCATTTACCGTAAATTTTCGGTTAACTCATTATTTTCTGTTATAGGATTCACTATTCTTCATTCGTTTTTAGTCTATTACTTACAGTTTCCCCTATCCATAGCCGCTTTGTCTTGTTTATTTGTAATTATTATTTTTCGTTATATGGTGTGATGCAGTCCGTTATTTCTGTATGTAAATCATGTCGGTTTGAAATATAAATATAGTTAGAGCTGGTCGCTGAATTTTGGACTCAAGATAGAGCATAGATAGGACCTTACAAATAGTGGACCAATAGGGACTTAGGTGGGTTTGCTCAAGGTTAGTAGTACTTGTTGGCCTTGTAATCGTTTAATTTGGGGATACTAGGCTATTGAGGAAATACTAGATGTAAAATAAACCGAATAAGAATCAGGATTCTGACTTGTTACTTGGTATGCAATATTGGTCAGCAGTTAAAAGGTATAACAAAGGAACATATGGTAGATCACAACCATCTTTTTGCAGTATCTAATAAAAGTGCGATCTTTAGAATTGTTTCGTTCATTAACCGGGTCAGTACCGCATATAAAAGTATAATTTTCACTAAGGATCTCATTTCAGTCATCTGCATCTATCTACTCATGTCTTTATTGAACGAGATACTGTAATGTATCCCAACTTACCGAATGAAAAAAGCTTTAAATGAAATTCTCAATGAAAATTATATTCAACGCCTATTCACTAAATGAACTAGGAAACGCTAGATATTTCACACGTATTAAACATTGGAAAGTAGATACGCCACGAATTCACTAACATAATCCTTTACAAAATACTAGACCAGAATAAGAATTTTTTTGCCTGAAAGTTTAAATCCACGTAGATGTTATAACAAAGAAGGCACTATAATACTATATTTTTTGAATATATTTTCTAGCTTATTCTATTTGATTTCACATTTAGGTGGCTGGTGAAGGTGATTTAAATGAGAATGCTTTGTCCAATATACAAACAGTTACATCTGATCATAATATACTTTCTGTGGATATTGAAGAAAGCAGTTTAAATAATCAACAAAATATAACAGAAAATTCATCATTTAAGCATAGTAATGCTTCATTAACAGCTTCATTATCACCATCCACTGGAAGAGTAGAGTCTAGTCATCATACCCAACAAATAAGTGGTGGCAATGATGAATTAGATTCAATAGGACCAATACCTCCAATTACAAGTCGTCCAGGTCCATTGCCTGGATCACGTAGGCTACATTTATCACATACTGGTCGTATAGCTCAGCATAGAGCTAGTGTACCAACGGGTGGTACTATCACTACTAATTCCGATGTTACTAGTTGTGGTAGTAATCCTCTCTCTCTATCCGAGTCAACAAGTAGTATCGTAAAATCATCTGATTCACCGAAAAATCTCACAGAACATTCGTTAATTAATTCTCTTAGTGCCGAAAATTCTAACGATATTCAAGATCGTTCACTTCAGTCTCATGCACATCATCATCGTCATCCAGAATCTTGTTGTGTAGCTGCTCGTAATGAAGTGGAACGTTTACACAAAGAGAATATTGAATTAAAAGTACAATTATCTGATTTACAAAATAGTAAAGATATTGTAGAACAACGTTTAGAAGATTTGGAAGGACGTATAATTCAACTAGATTCTATTGTTCAAGTTTTAAAAGAGGAAAAAGTGAGTGTATATTTTTTATTCTTTTGTTTTCTAGTATATTCTAAATATGTGTTACTATAAAGTCATTACATAGTTCAATCATCTCATTATTAACAATATAAGCTATTATAATCAAAGCATTTTAATGATTGTTGATTTTCACTGGCGATCTCAACTTAAACGACAATCTTATAGAAGAACTCTGGTTAAGAAAAAAATATGTATATGAACTTAATTAATTCACTTTACATTTTAGATATTTCCTTGTTACTTAGCTAAATTGATTTTAACCTGGTACAATGAGAAATCTGTAGGAATTCTTTATTTTTATTAAACTGACTATTACCTTTTAGGAAAAGAATCTTTTGTTTTTCTTTGTTGTTTTTCTCCCCTGCAATTTCTTTCTGAGTAATTTTTTTCAAAAGTAATCATAGTTATATGAACCCTTGATCAGTTTTGTTATTAGTATTATTATTTGTATAGCATTACATTTTATGTTTAATGAGAACACCTTGTAAACAATATTACTGTTCCAATGGTTTGTACTTGAGATTTAATTCAGTGACATTGATTTCATTGTCTGGAATAATGTTGGTTAAAGAAAGCAAAGAAAGAACATAGATTAGTGTAGAATAATATGAATTCATTTTATTTTGTTAGGTTCTCATGAGCTGCTTACAATCTATAATATTTACAATCAAAGTTATTACAGATATTGATATATTTATACATACGAAGGTGATTAGAAATGAATATGTGTAACGAGATGTAGTGAAAATTTAGCATCTCCCATGTTGATTATTCGTTTTGCTTTTTTTTTAATCATGGTAACACATGCTCTAAAGTTTATAAACATATCCATGAATTGTATGTTTCATTTGTCAGTCTGTTTTACTTTCATGATATCCGTTGTGTTTCATCATTTTTTAGAATTCTTCTTAACAGCTTTAGTTTTTAATTTAGGAATAGAGTTTACTGCTTTAGGGGTTCTATATTCAAGTTTGAGTTTGAGCCTCTCTGTACTTATTTCAATTTGGGTAATCGAATAGTAGTATTAATAAAAACAATTAAAGTGTGATTCGGGGCCTAGGACAAAACTTTATCTAGTAAATTAGTTAATAACCGTAATAATACTATCTAAGATTATTTAGATAAGTTTAATATAGGGATAGTTTTTATTCTGAATAGATTTTAGTTGATGCACTTTTTCAGATTACAAAACATTGGACTGTTGTTTCATCCAAGTTTTGGATTTCTCCAAAGTGTGCATCCTGTTATCGATTCTACAACAACTATGTCACCGTAGTCAACATATTCTACTACATGCAGAATTCTGAGATTACAACTATAAAATGATATCAAAAACAAAGTTTGATCGATGTAACAATTTTTGTTATAGATTTTTGATTTTGAAGTGACTTACTCTGAAAGGTAACCCCTAGAATTCTAGTAAGAAGTTGTGAACGATAGAGTTCAACCATTTCTGATGTGAGACAAATGTTGCCACTAGTAATGGGTGACGGTTGCACGATGTCATAAATTGACTAAAGTAACCAATACTAGCCATTTGAGGACAACTCAGTGATCTGGAGTTTATATGTTCGCTGTGAGGTCTGAATGTCGCTAACTCTGTTCCTTAGCGGAGTTGTGGAAGTATACTGTCGAGGTGTTTCATACTAGGGAACAGCTGCCCAGTGCTTTCTAGCTTTAAATGGTCGTCTGATCAAAATCAGTCCGTAATCTGAAGTTGCTACTAAGCTTCAAATAAGACAGAATACTAATAATATTCAGGTTGCGTAGAATTTAGAAAAATGTGATAAAAGGACCAACAACAAAGGGTTGATACACGTAAAGTGCTTGGAAAACTGCGTGATATTGGTGTTTATCTGCTGATCTTATAGGTTCAGAATGATAAAAAAATATTACTTTAAAATTACTATTTATTCTAGATTTTTATTTGCTCGTTATATCAATCTTGGCTACTTATATTAAAATATTTCAGTGTATTGTCCATCATATTATCTATACGTTTATGGCTAGGTCAGTTTTAATTGTCATATTTAAGTATACACCGTTTGGCTCCTAGCCCTTCTGTCCCTTCACAATCGATTGATCACTGGGTGGTGATCAATCAATTGTGAATACATCTCAGTCCTACAGGAGGTCGGTTGCGGCCCGGATAGCCTAGTGGTAACGTCTCTGTGAAGATGGGTGACACGGGATCGGACCCATCATGGAGCGCCAGTTCCCTCAAGATTACAGGTACACCTTGTTGACGAGTGCCAAGTAGCACAAAACCCGGGTCCAGGGTTTCCTGCTGACTACTTCCAACCACCATCTTACCTTCTGTCCCTTCTTGTATGTTCTGTTATGACTTTTACGTCTTGTTAAGTATCACGTGATAAAATCTCCAGTCACAACACGACTTATACAATTTTAGCACTGTGACAAATCAATGAGGTCTTGAACGGGTACGTGCAGCTTAAGTTCCTTATTGGTCCTTCTCGCCTAGCCCTGCCTGTTGAGTCCAGAACACCAACTTCAGCTTCCACTATACGAATCATTTATTTATAACATACCTGGTTTATGTACAAGCAAACCAGACCACACCATACCATAAACTAAAAATAGCACTTGTACAGGTTAAAGCCAAAAGTGGCTGTGTGAGAGACTGTAACTAATAAATTGGGAATAACTTAGGAATAGTAAATCGTATAATAGTAGCCAATAAATCAAATTGAAGCTTATAACAAAAGGAATATAACTGTACATATAATATAGTTATTTAATAGTTATCCAATAGGAATATATGTAATAATATTCCATAAACAAATCCTAGCAGTTACCATTCCATTATTCTTCGTAAGGATATAAAAAGTTCGCTGTTTCATTCTGAAAATATATGACATACTACAGCTTTACAACACAGCTCCGTTTTGTAGCAGCCTCATATATTTTGTTCGGATTTTAGAGTATATTGATAGATGATGTGTACGTTATCACTAATAAAGTGGACATTAGATATATTTAGTTCCGAAAATATTTGTAACAATAAAAATGTCTATTATGCAACCAAAAGTTGATTTTTAGATAGCTGTTAAGCTAAATTGCAAACATACATGATCCTAAGTTAGATTGTCTGTTAAAGCACCTGATATGATTCAATGCACATGTTCAAGAGTGTTTTGTGAATCTAGATAATATTCTCCCTGTTTTACTCTTTAGAGTTCAACCCTAAATTTCTCAAGTGTGTAAACAGAATGGTGGCAAAGCATTGCATTATAGTTGATGTCAGTTCGTGTTGAAAACCCTGACCGCTATTTGTAAATCTAACTCAAAACTTCAGTTCTACCCGTAATAACTGACCCTAACTTTTCGCATTATTATTGATGTCAGTTGGTGACGAATACTCTATGGGGCGATAACCCTAAATTACAGCACCAGCCTGACTTCTAGTGCGGGTAAATATGAACTTTATTACAAGGGATAATTGGACATGTGAAGGTTAATTATCACGATCAAGCTGTTATTTCATTGTTTTGTATCGCCAATTGCTTTGTAACCAGGTAGTGTTTCTTGATTTGTTGGTAAGTCCCTCAAGGTCGTCGGTGTATTTTAATTTTACTGCTCAATCAAAGCAATCACTAAAACTTGACTATCATCCTTAAGGATCTCCGGAGTCTTATCCATTAATGCCTGCTGCTGACGATCGATTTTAGGTATTTGCGGGTTATTTAAGAGTTGAGACACTAGTGTCAATTTATCATTCAGGGAGATTAGAGATAGAGGTTAACTGTAAGGTAATTGGGTAGGTCAGATGAACTGTTCCTAAAGTTTTCTATCCATATATCTTACCTCCTAAATTGTGAGTAAATAACACTTTTGTCGTTTTTTTGTTGTTGAGATAGTCTCATTAACACTTGCTATTTTAATACCCGTTTTCTTGATCAATTGGTTGAGTTGTTTAGTGTTACTTGAATTAGTATCACTTCAACTACACCGTTTTAATCGTAATTGTTAGACATTCATTACCAGTAATTTACCAATTTCGTGTCGTTAATTCAAGAAATTACTAATATTTGTTCTTAAAAAAATAAGTAAAAAGGTTTTCGGGTTATTAACATTTAATTTGATAATAAAATATTGAACCACATGAGTTAATTCAGTTTTATGAACTGTTAGAAGAAAATATTCAATCACTGAGTGTTCGCTGGATTTTGTAAATAATTTTTCTATCAATTTTTTAATAATCTTTTACAGTAATTATCAGAAACGAAAAATAAGATGATCCAATTATTCCTTGAATGTGAATGTATTTATAACAAACGCTTCATATTCTTAAGAATAACGAAAAATGTAGTCTGATATACTTACTTACTTTTGTTACCCCTTGTGGAGGAGTATAGACCACCCACTAGCATTCTCCATCGAACTCTGTCTTGGACACAATCCTTTCCAGTTGTTCCCAGTTCCTATTCATTCTTTTGATGTCTGCCCCGACTCCCGACGCAATGTGTTCCTTGGCCTTTCTCTTTTCCTTTCCCTTTGGTATTTCAGGTTAGCGCTTGTCTCCTGATGCAGTCTGTCGATTCCCTCAATGTATATCCTATCCACCTTCAGAGTCTTTTCCTAATTTCTTACTTAGCTGGAAGCTGGTTTGTTCTCTCTCATAATAGACTGTTGCTGATGGTATCCGACCAACGGACATTAAGTATCTTGCATAGACTATTGTTTAGAGATACTTGTACCTTTTTGATGATGTAGTAGTTCTCGAGGTTTCAGCTCTGTACAGCAGAACTGTCTTGACATACGTACTGAGGATTCTGACTTTGCTGTTGGTTGATATTTGTTTTGGGTTGCGTATGTTCAACTATAGGAATGATGTCATTGCTTTGCCAATACTCGCTTTTACGTCTGCATCAGATCCTCCAAGTTCATTAGTGATGCTATCCAGATACGTGAAACTTCCCACCTCTTCCAGAGCTTCTCCACCATGTGAGATTTGGTCGGTGTTCACCGTT